TGTATATATATATATATATATATATATATACATACACTGTATAGACACATCTTATAGAGTGCTATACATATATATATAGACTCGGCGTTGCTGGACGTTAAGTGATATTGGAAACTAATATATATATATATACATATACATACACTGTATAGACACATCTTATAGAGTGCTATACATATATATATAGACTCGGCGTTGCTGGACGTTAAGTGATATTGGAAAACTAGCTCTGGATCGCCTGTAGCACTATCAATTTACTTGTACACGAGATAAAGGTGTCTGCTAGTAGGCCTGCAGCGAAAAGCAAGTCATCAAAACTGTATAAACAAACAGGATACGAAGGATCACGTGTGGCGAACAGTACATCCATTTTTAACGGCTATGATGTGAATATATGTCATGTGTTAATCACAAGTTGCGGAGCTGCATGCGAAAACATGTGCTCTATGTAAGACCTACCCCAGGATAATGTTAAACCATTTCACATGAGCCCTTTTATAATGTTATACAACAAGTGGAGAAACTGCTTAGATAGTTCTACAAAGAAGCGCAGAATACAGTTTTCACTAGATGAAATTCAGTTTCGTACATAATTAGCAGAATTTGCTATGAAGATTGAATTTTTCTTTTTCTTAAGGAAAGTCCGAAAGAAAAAGACCTCAGTGATCTGACCGTTAGTCCGGGGAGTGTCAAGGAACGTGCTCAAAAATTGAATAAAATGGCATCAGAGTCAGACCTAACTTTTAAGCCCACCCCTGTCTTGGGGCTCAGCACAACAGGAAAAAAACGTGAAAATAGGGTAGGTAATCGTAATGTATGTCATATAAACCAGTATTGGGTCTTAAGCCTTATTCTAACGTTTTATAGCAATCAATTGTAATGCTCTAGATAAAATAATGATTCACCCGATTTGTTGCATCTGTGTCACACTTTATTTTGTGGTATTAGAAAACATTTAAAATTTACAGATATATCGTAGTGTAAATTAGTGTTTTCTCGGTAATTTCACACAACCCAGATTTTGCTTTTCTAACAGATTTGGCTTATAATTTTGTTTCTTTTTCAGAGTTCAGAGTACGACGATTCTTCTGTGAACACGGTAAATAAATTAGTTAATTTTGTTTAAACTCCAAACCATTATTATTATGATATCTAATTAATTAAAGGGATTCGTAGAAAAAAAGTGTTAGAAAAGACGTGTTAGCTAACTCAACTTTGCACACGTGAGTTGTATGAAATTTTAAACATGTATGATACGTTATCATAAACAAAATCTAAGTAAACAAACAAGTCTTTTCAGGTGAACTTAGCATCATCAGACACAGTAGACAGGCAAATAAAAACAAACTAAGCTTGTATTTTTGATTATCACAGACAAATTGTTGGGATTAATTTAGACGGATGCGATGTTTCTTATTTGTTGCACCGACGTACATTATCATGAGGAGCTCAGCATGGCCAGGTGGTTAGGGCGCTCTACTCGCATTCTGAGGGTCGCGGTTTCGAATCCCCGTTCCACCAAAAATGCCCGCCCTTTCAGCCGTGCGGACGTTATAATGTGACGGGTAATCCCACTATTCGTTGGTAAAAGAGTAGCCCAAGAGTTGGCGGTGGGTGGTGATGAACTGGCTGCCTTCCCTCTAACAAACAATTATTACGAGTGATCGAGAGAGAGATGACGATGTCTTTGATGATATACGGTTGCATAATAAAATGTTCTGTGAATATTTTCTGGTCTTTCATTATGTTTTTAGATTTTCTGTACGGATAGGAAAGTTTATGTCCGATTCCCTTCTTCTTGTGTATGTTGCACCAAAACTGCTTAATTACTCCAGATCGTAAAATAGCTCAATAACTGCCGAGTATTGAATCAATTGCCCAAGTGTCTTACTGAACTAAATTGGTTGTTTTTATTGATTTGTTTTTTTTTGTTTAGTTTTAATGTAAAGTTTCTTTCTTTTTTTGTTTTTAATTATTTTTGGTAACTTTGTGACCTGTTATAGCTTTTCTAGCTGCATATTTTTTCTGGTTCGCATTTAGAACCAGGCGCGGTCCACTTTGTAGTTTTCTGGACTTGGAATTCTAAAGTACAGGGTTTGTGTTCTGTTGCTACAAATGGAACTCTACACTTAAGGTCCATGGATGCGTTATAAGAGTGATGGCCGAATCTTACTATTCGATTAGAATATCTCGTGAGTTGTCTCCGGGTGCTTTTTACTAGTTATCTTCCCTCTAATCTGTCCGCTCAACATTATGGCCGGCTAGCGCGGTTAAGCCTTGTGTAGTTTTGCGCAACTTTCCGAAATAGAAGGTTAGTTCAGTGTATTAGCTAGCCGGTTTATTGGAGTTTCAAGGTCGAATGACGAAATAATATATTTTTTTTGTGCTTTCGTCTCTTACGAGAACGATGGCTGGGAAACTCACGTCACAGAAGATTTATTTGCAAAGTTGGTGGTTTTGGAATGTTTTAATGAAAAAGAACCAGCTTCAGGTTACCAGATTCTTCTCGTGGGTATGGTAAAAACGGCAACTATTTGTGACCGACAAATGTGTAACAAGTGTATAACCATGTTGTTTATTTACTGCTGTAAAAGTTGTAATGATGGTTGATAATATTAAGCTAAATGCCCAAACACAGTGGAAAATGTGTTGTTGTTTTGAAGGGCATTTAATATTGTATTTTTAAGTTTTGAAATTATCATTGTGTAGTTTTGGCATGATGTTCAACATTCCTCATTTATTTCAGGATTACTTTACAATTTTGTAAGCTGTTATAAATTATTAAAAAAATATGTTAGTAGGACACTGGATTTTCAACAAGAGCCTGTGAGGTAATCAAAATACGAAACAATGAACACTGTGTGTAGTTTGTGAGGATTTAATTATCATTTCTTGATCTGTTTTTTATGTTTTGATGCTAACCATGATAAGGAAACAGAAATGAAACCAAAGAACAGTATCACAGAAAATAAATTCACTATAGGATGGTTGCATATTTTCCACAAGTTTGTCAGTATATGTACGATATAAAAGTGACATGTCAGCATTAGGTATTATTGGTTATATTTTTTTATTAAAGCATTAAATTTGTATGCTTAATTTACTCGTACAAAGAGAAAATGGTGTGAAAGAAATATACGCTGTATTTCATCAATACAAAAACAGTTATGCCACTGTAATATTTTCGATTTTGGTACATTGACCTCAGAGTGTTACATAGATTGTAAAATTTTCATTAGGTTAGTTTATGTTGTAAAGGTTGCTTTTCAAAAACGTGAAATGTAGCATCTACAAGTTTCTGAAAAACTTGCACTTAATAGATAATGGAAATAAAACTCTCTAATTCGGCGATTTGATTTAGTTACATTGTAATGTTGAGTTTTGTAATATAGAGGGCAGAGCATTCATTTTGTGAAAGTTCTCTTGTTTCAGTAGGCTTAAAAACAACAACTTGTAGTTGTAGATAACTTGGTAATGAAAGTACCCAGTTTATTAAGCTTATATCAAATGTAGAACACTTGGTATTCATCTTGTTGTTTATTAAAGAGAAACTGTAATGTATTTCATTATATTAATAACATTTACAAGCTTGACCCAAGGCGTCGAGAGTGGATTTTAAAAGCAGCTCAAGCCGACTATCACTCATTGGTTCGCCTTTTGAAAGAAGAACCCAAGTTGGCATTTTTCAGGGTAAGTACCAGTGAATATGTATGTATGTATATATATACACACACACATATTCATTTACAGAGGTTTTGATATTTGATATGACTTTTAAAGTACAGGCTTATACTGGTTTTTGGACATATACACAGTATGGATTTCAGCAAAACTTTAACAAGTATAGATAAGTCAAGAAAGAGCAATGTGTAATATTTCTTTTATACAAGGTGGTCCAAAATTATCTTTCCTGTTTTAAAATTTAATAATTAAATAACTAAAGAAATACAACCATGCAGCCTTTAACATTCTTGTAGCTCAATTCAAACACTTTTTATTGACATGTCAGCAGACTTCTATGTTGCACCATTAATGGCTCTCAGCATGTCTCACCGATATTCTATTTCAGACCACGTTCCCTGTAACACTCCCACATTTACAGTGGCGATGGCATCCATTATCCTGGTCTTTAGCTCCATGATGTTTGCTGTAGGTGTGTAATAAACGATGTCCTTAACATACCCCCAGAAAAAGAAGTCTAGTGGAGTGATGTTTGGGGAACACGGAATTGGCCCACCCTGACCAATCCATTGCCTTTGAGATGTCTGATCTAGGAAGCATCTGGAGCATCACCTTGTTAAAAGATTACCAATGGTTGCATTTATTCCACTTTTGTGACCACAAATTGTTTCAGCTTGTCAAGGTACACATTCTTGGTAACAGTACTCTCAGCAAAAAAGAAAGGACCAATAATCCTGTCACACGTGAGACTGCACCACACATTCACTTTGGAATATCATGCACAATTTCAATGGTCTCATGGAGGTTTTCTGAGCCCCAAATGCAAACATTATGACGCCACTGAACAGTACATGAGCAAGAAATGTGTTGTCTTGGTCTATGCAGTCAAAGAGGTTGAGGTTCTCTTGCACTGTGGTCTGTCATTTAGTTGCAGTGTTTGTAACAACTGAAGTTTGTAAGCATTTGGGAATGACACAGATAAGGAATGTTTTTGGCCTGTTGATTCTAGTGGATTTCCTTGGGCTATGCTGAAAAGATTCGTGTACTTGTTCCATACGTTTATCACTGACAGAGAACGTTCCAGCTACCAGTCACTGTAACACACTACCTGTCTCCAAGAGCTTTTTCTTCCACTCCCAGATAGCTGGTTTCGATGGTGGTTATTTCCTGTTCTTTCACTGCACCACACTCACTGACTTGGTTTCTGCAAGCCAAATGACTCATTGAGCCTTTTCTTGCCCAGTTGCTATTTTACAGAATAGCATTACTTACTGTAGTAAAAAATATGTGACAATAAAAAATTGTTTAAATTTGGCTACAAGATGTTGAAAACTGCTTGGTTGTATTTTTTAGTAATTTAACTATTAAATTTTAGAATATGAAAGATAATTTTGGGTCACCCTGCATATCTAGCTGTATCTCTTGGAATTTTTAGTAAGCTCAATTATAGTAAAGGTAATTTGCACCCTGATAGATAGACATCTAAAAATCGGGTTTTGATACCTGTAGTAACACAGCATAGGTAGCCCATTTTGTAGCTTTGTGCTTAACAACAACAAAACTTTATTTTCATACATAAAATTGAATTATCAGATTTTTCTACATAAATGTATGCAGCCGTGCACTGAGAATAGTTTTTTCTTTTCAGTTGTTTCTATGTTTAATAATGACTTTTGAATGTAATTTATATACACGAAATAATTGAACAATTAATCTTATATATCACAGACCACTCACATGCCTGGTACAAGTTATATAGATGTTATATTTTACCAGTATGTTTACTCATAATTTTCCTTTGAAATTCAACTGTTCCATAAAAAGAAAACTGTGAAAAATGGCCTCCCTACTTCTTTTTCTCTGTATAATTAGGTTGTTATTTAGTGCTGCCTAATAGTTCATTTATGTTTAACCTCAGTTGTACACTAAGCAAATGTTCTATATTATTTGTATATTACATAGATAAAGGAGCCCCCCCCCCCTTCTGGGGCTCATTGGTAAGTTTGAGTCTTAAAAAGCCAAAATTAATGACTTGATTCCCATAGCGGTTACTATGTAGTAATGACAGTTTTCAAAATGGTAGAGCTAGAATTTCTTGTGGAACAGTAAGTAGTCCATGAGACATTAAAGCCAGAGGTAACCAATTAAATTAGATAGTTCTTAGGCCTAATGGTTAGCATGCTTGACTGTGAATTAAAAGATTGATGGTTCATGGTCTTTCGTTACAAAAATGCGTGGGTGTGCTATAAGAGTGATGGTCAAATTCTACTTTTTGATCAAACAAAACCCATGAGTTGGCAGTGGGGTGCCGTTGACTAGCTGCCTTCCCTCTGGCCCATCTGGTCAAAACTAAAGATGGCTATGTGCAATTAGCCTTATGTGTAACAAACAACAGATTTGTTTTTAAAATTTAAATGTTTTATGAAGTCAGCTGTTCCAAATGTTGCAAAATGAAAATAATGAGTAGTTCTCACTTGAGAAGTAAATCAATATATATATTCAAAACATTACACAAAAAAACTTGAGTTAAACAAGGAGTTATCAAATGTTATCGATTGAAAGTTTCGAAATGCAACATTTTTTTATCAGTTTCAGGAAATAAAAAATTACAACTTGTAATATACAAAATTAGCTAAAGATCTGTAGTTAAATGTGGCTCTGCATTTTTGTTCATCTACACATGTGACTGATGTGCTTTAGATAGATTTTTAGTTCATTGTGTTGTGGTGTGTGAACTCGTTCAGTTTTAATCCGATATGGGACAAGCGTAGCTTAATGGTTAGCATGCCAAATTGTGGAGATTTGTGGTTCCCATCCTGTCCCATTGCCAAAAAAAAAAACCTCATTCCTCTGAACTTTGTGGCCTCGGGTGTGTCATAGGAGTGATATTAAATTCCACATTCGATTAGATTTGGTATTCCTTACATCTGTTAAGAAACATACCAAGAAAAACAGACAAGTGTGTTGTGTAGTCAGTGTGAAGCTGCATTCATTTTTGTGATGAGGTATTTTAAAAGAAAACCTTTACATTCATTCATACAAGAAAGTAATTAAGAGAATAAGAAATACTACAGAAAGAAGCTCTGCACCTTGAAAAAATATTGTAGCAGTGGTGGAGGCTTGATGGGGAAGAATACTTTTGTCTATAGTAGTAATATATGCATCATGAAAGAGCATCCTTTTGTCTGTAGCAGCACTAGAAGCATGATGGCAAATGTTGTTTTTATCTGTATTAGTAGAAGCATCATGAAAGAGCATACTTGTTATCTATAGCAATGGTAGAAGTATGGTGGAAAAGAGCATACTTGTCTTTATAGCAGTGGTGGAAAGGCACAGTTGTCTCTATAGCTGTGGTAGAAGTATGGTTGAAAACATATTTGTCTCAATAGCAGTGGTAGAGGTATGGTGGAAAGGCACAGTTGTCTCTATAGCTGTGGTAGAAGTATGGTTGAAAAGATACTTGTCTCAGTAGCAGTGGTAGAGATATGGTGGAAAAGCACAGTTGTCTCTATAGCTGTGGTAGAAGTATGGTTGAAAATATACTTGTCTCAATAGCAGTGGTAGAGGTGTGGTGGAAAGGCACAGTTGTCTCTATAGCTGTGGTAGAAGTATGGTTGAAAATATACTTGTCTCAATAGCAGTGGTAGAGGTATGGTGGAAAGACACAGTTGTCTCTATAGCTGTGGTAGAAGTATGGTTGAAAAGATACTTGTCTCAATAGCAGTGGTAGAGGTGTGGTGGAAAGGCACAGTTGTCTCTATAGCTGTGGTAGAAGTATGGTTGAAAAGATACTTGTCTCAATAGCAGTGGTAGAGGTATGGTGGAAAGACACAGTTGTCTCTATAGCAGTGGTAGAAGTATGGTGAAACGTGCATGATTGTGTTATATTAAACGCAATATAGTGAAGTTGCGGTGATAGTATGTTGGTTTCGTAAGTCATCTAGATGCTATGTTGATGTCTTTTTAATTTTTGTACACCTTCAGCTATGAATACACCTAGTGGGTACTTAACATTAAACTGGAATCATATGTAAACAGAAGAGATTATTAGATGTAATGTAGTTGGTGTGTGTATTTAAGAATATATATTATTCTAATTCAAACATGCTTAACGTATGTTCAGCAGCGAACTCCAATCGTAGAAGTATTTTCAATTCTTCTCTAGAATAGTGAAAGATTCGACGTATATAGTTGTGGTGTCTTAGATAAACATTAGATGAGTGGATAACAGGTTCCCCATTGTGTGGAGTGAACACTGGAGCACATGTTTACACTACGCTCACTGTCTTGTTAATTGTTTTCTTAACTTTACACTCAAAGCACGTGTGTATTTATGTAATTGAAACGATGCTGTGAAACTGACCGAGAGAGGTATGAAGCGCTAGGCCTGATTCTATGAAACAGAGAGATGAAGAGAGAGGTTTGGAGCTCCTGGTATAATGCTATCAAACAGACGGATGAAGAGGTGTGAAGCACTAGGCATGTGATTGTGAAACAGACAGATGGAGAAGTGTGAAGCACTAGGCATGTGATTGTGAAACAGACGGATGGAGAGGTGTGAAGCACTAGGCATGTGATTGGGAAACAGACGGATGGAGAGGTGTGAAGCACAAGGCATGTAATTGTGAAACAAACACATAGAGAGGTGAGAAGCTGTAGGTGTACTGCAGTGAAACAAACAGATAGAGAGGTGTGAAGCTGTAGGCGTGATGCGGTGAAACAAACAGATAGAGAGGTGTGAAGCTGTAGGTGTGATACTGTAAAATACACAGATATAGAGGTGTGAAGCTGTAGGTGTGATACTGTAAAATAGACAGATAGAGAGGTGAGAAGCTGTTGGCGTGATACTTTAAAATAGACAGATATAGAGGTGTGAAGCTGTAGGTGTGATACTGTAAAATAGACAGATAGAGAGGTGTGAAGCTGTAGGT